CTCGTCAAGTCCAAAACCCTAGATCTAGCCTCCCAAGGCTGAAATACCACGTAAAGCTACAAGCTTTATATTCATGCATGGAATCTAGGGCTCAAAATGCCAAAAAAAGGTCTATTTAGGGTTTGATGCATAAAATCTTGCCACTAGCTTTGATAAAGCTTGGATCCTTGGGCTCATGGGACCTCATATTGCTCAGATTTGGAGTCTTAACTCCATAGCAAGCTCAAATAGCTCTAGAGCTCAAGGAAGGATGGAAAAATGCCCTAAAACTCCCTAGAAAAGAGATCCAATCACATAATGAGCAAGGTAGTAACTTTTTACCTTCAAACATAAGTTAAGAATGAATGAACCTCAGATCCAAAAACTTCATTTCATCCCAAGCCTTTTGCTTCCTCAATCTTCCTCCAAAATGCACTAAGGTTTGAGATATTAGCCTCTCTTTCTCTCACACAAGGATATAGCTCGATTAGGGTTTCTCACGGGGTGTTAGGGTGATGAGGGAGGCGGAAATGAAGGCTTAAGGTCCTTTAAATAGGACACAAACCTGGAAATTTAGGGTTTCCTTAAACAGCTCCAACTCGTCGAGTTGGTCACAAAACCCACGCGACCATCTCAGCTCCTACTCGTCGAGTTGGTGCCAACCAAATCGTCGAGTAGGCCCTATATTGTGCATTAAAACTCCCAAGTTTCACATCCAGGGTTCGGGGTATTATAGGGACCCATCAGTCTAAACTTCAAAAACTATACCCTAAGACTGATGATCATCCATTCGTCATCATTAAGCTCCCAAATCTGGGACCCATTCAGTCTAAACTTCAATAACATACCCTAAGACTAATGATCATCCGAAATTCCAGTGAGAATCACTCAAACTGGGACCCATCGTTCTATACTTCAAAGCCACACCTGAAAAACTATACAAACACCACTCCAACGTCCGAACTCCCAGTAACCAAGGACAACTTCTAAACCCGAGTCTGCTATGAACAACACTCCCATAATCATCATTTGAGGGAACCCATACCCATGATCAAAAGGTACAATGTACAAATTTGACGATAAGTTGACGCTTCCCTTGAACTTCCACTGATACAGCTCAAAAATTTCGAAAAAACTCAGCTATTGACGATGAACGAAATGCCCAACGATCGAGAATACATTGACAAGTAATTCACTAATCGAATACACTACTGAACAAAGCCCATGTGGATCAACACATACCAAAATCTGAAGTTGATTAACCGATCAACAAATACCCAACCTCGACTATAGATATCAATTTATACAACGAGCTGACAAATCCCTCCATAACCGATGCTCAACCTGAGCGAACCAAACGCCTCCTGATCTATTCACCAGCATACCAAAGGAATCACTAACTACAACAAGTTCCTTGTCCAACAGCTTCCTGACGAGAAGACAACTCATACTTCCCGAGCACATACATTTGATGGAAACAAGCTTTGCACACCCGACTTGATCAAATCTTGAACCAAATTCTCACACACCCGGACTACATATGCCTACGACTTATTATTCTTAAACCAACAAATCGCACAAATCGATGATTCTCCAAGTATACTACCAAGTTCTCCCCCGCTTAGGGTTCGAACTACCTCCAACTAACATTGTAAACAGACCAAAACTCAAACCGGCTCAACCAGATGCATAACATCCCTGACCATTCGAATGTATAACACAACGTAAGATGATATTCCAGATAAAGACCGAGCTAATTCAACGAGATTCAGAGTCTCAGATGAAGACCTTGGAAACCTCCCTATCATCACCGCCTCTAACATCAAGAATCCCTTGTAGATGCAAAAGCAATAAGTATGACTATCTATATATAGAACCGATTCTCTATCTAGAAACAAATAGACCACCACACATCTCGTTTACATGTCCTCGACGTTTAATTCATTGCGACAATCTTTCATAATTACAAGAGGCATTATTCTCATAGTTAGGATACATCAGAGACCATCAAAGTTTTTCGTTCCCATTTCACCTGAAACAATCAACTAGCACCTGACCTACGTAAATTCAAAGAAAGCAAACTCTTGGCCTCATCTTGAGGCAATCATACCACAAGAATCTTTTTGTGTATTCCTATACCGCCATATTTGTCACCAAAAATCGCAACTATCTAGCTCCATGATGGGTCTACATTCCAATTATGAAAATATCATGCCTGCCTTTTATTCCCTCTGAATACGGAAAGATAGAAGAACATAGCTCTCGTCGAAGATAGAGACATCCCAATCCATCTGTAAATCACTCAGCATCTGGCTGCAATCCTCAATCCGTTCATCACAATCGCTTCCTTTTTTAGTCCCGCGACTCAACTGACACTACCTCGAGCAAGGACCTCGAGACCTCAAAATCAACTACCTCACCTAGGTCTACACCATTCGAAACCCAAACTGACATGGCTACTAAGGTCCAAGAAATCACCAGACCCATCCCCAATTTTAACAACCACAACCGATAATCCGATAAGGATAGAAACATACTGTAGTGAATCATGGTGCCAAATCTTACAATCTACCCTCCATCAGCTCCGTAGAATCCCCTAAAAGAAGCTTTCATTTACTAGCATATGACCACATTTCAAATGGACTTGTTATTAACCCAACATAGTCTAAGTCCGACTTTAATGTTGGCATAAGGCTAACTAAATGATAATAACAAGTGATGATGCACGTACGTAGTGGCGAGTTTATTCATCATATATTTTGAGCTAAATAAACTAACACAAAAGATTGATATGTAAAATAACTTGCAAATATTTTATATTTTAGATAAACACATGAAAAACAATTTTAAAAATAAAGTTATAAAGATGACATAGTTATTTAAACAAATAACAAATAATTATATAATAAGACTAAAATGAGAAAAAGACAAAAGTTAGGTTAAAATGGTCATTAAAAAGATATTTAATAGATGAGAGTTGATGGTAATAGTTAGGACCAATTGTGTAATTTTTTGCCAATCATAATGATCATTTAAAAAAAAACATACCTTGGAACTAAAATGCAGAACAATGAAAACTTCAAGGACCTTACTCTGTTTCTTTTAGAATTAAAAACTATAGGGATCAAAAATGTATTTTCTTAAACTAAAAAATTATATGGATCAAAATTTTAATTAATAAATTTTCTTTTAGAACTAAAAACCATAAGGACACTTAGATACATTTTATGCATTTTTTAAGACAATTATTCTATAAATTTATATCATTTTTAGGTTTTTAAATCACATGCATTCTATGTATTTTCGGGAATTTTATGCAAAATTTTAGAACCTTTTAGTTTGCAAGCTTTTTGGATGGATTTTAGGTGGTTCAAATCTTAAAACACTATTATGATGTTGATAGGAAGCCGCTGTCAAGATTTCATGAAGAAATAAGTTGGTATGCAAAAGTCGAAAATTTTAATCAAACAATTCCAAAGGACTCGATCGAGTTAGGCTTTGCCTCGGTTTGACTCGATGAAGTCCGTAAAAAACATGTTCCAGAAGTCAAAAGTATATAGAGAGAGAGAGACGACTTTTGTCTCTGGTCAAGTGACTCAGACGAGTCAAAGGTAACTTGGTCCACAAGCTTCTTAAAACCTATATAAACATAACCTAAGTCGTTGGTAAATTTCGACCTAGAGTAGCGATAGATGAATTTTAGAGTAACAAAACGTTAAAGAGCAATTTTAGAGTAGCAATTCAGTATTTTTGTCTTTCACTTCATAGAACTTTTTATTTCACGTATTTGAACTACTACCTCCGTCCCAAATTAATTGTCTACGTTTGACTTTTGAAGTCTTTATTCTTCAACTTTGATATTAAATATTTTTTTTTGATAAATAATACTTGATACAAAATATATGAATGAATTGTATTTTAAATATTTTTTCATTGTTATAAGTTTCATTAAGTGATATATAACACAAATAAAAATATTTGATGTCAAAGTTGAAGAAAAAAGACTTCAAAAGTTAAAAGTGGACAATTAATTTGGGACGGAGAGAATATTATTTATGGCTATGACCGACTACAAACTTCTCTTTTTTGGTTCTAGTTTGCAATTCAACTATGTGTAATTGATGTTATTGGATTGGCGTTTTAGATTTTATTTTTGCATGGTGGCTTATGTTTTTGTTTTAATAAAGTGTTTGAACTTATTTTTTTTCATGAATGGGAACATGAAATAGTTTAATTTGAGTAAAGTTAGTTAATTTATAAAAGTCGTAATTTTTTTTATGAAATAACACAAGTAACAAGCAATAATTTGTTGTTATTTTATGATTTAATTCGTTGTAAACATAAAATTGCATATACGCTTCCGAGCTTGTGAGGACTATTCAATATTGTTAGAAATACTTGTAAAAAACTTAATGTAACTTTCAATCAAAATATATTAACTTATTTAGAGTAGGTTAGTAAAGTTAATTCTTTGAGTTTATTTTAACAAAATAATTAGATAAGTAAAGTGATATTAGAGTTTCTTAGTATTGCTTAGTATAATTTTAGATTAAAAATTATCTAAACATCAATTCATGATCAATTTTTTGTAAGTAGAACCATAATTATCTCAAATATAATTGTCTTTAAAATCCTAGCTTTTGTGTACTTTGTTGTGTGTTAATTCTAGTCTCCTTTTTATTTGTAATTTATTTTTATGCTAAGTCAATATATCTTGTACAAAGATGTATTTTACGATTATTATGTGTCAACGTGGATACAATCTCTACTTTAGCTAGCCATATTTTTATGCCATTATTATTTGTTGGTTTCACGACATTAACAAGGAGCAAAAACATATTTAGACAATTTCCTAGAAATTAAAAGGATAGTAGAATGGAGATTGGTTGGTATATTATAAGGAAATCAAAGTAGCAATAAGGGCCATTGAGACAAAAATTTAACTAACGGACTACGTTTGCATATCGACAAATAGTCTAGGGATGTTTTTTTGCATTTTTCTCTAAACTTTTTTTGGTAGCATTTCATGCCCCAGGGTCAAATCAATTGCTCGTCTTCGGATCTATCCAGAAGGAGTTTTTTTTCCGGTGGGACATTAACACAAGCAGTTGGACGACACACGAATTGCAGTCTAAGCTACGAACCTGTTTGAGCTTCTTCTTCTCCGCATCGAATACAAGTTTAATGTCGTCGATATATGTATCGGAGCCTCCCACGAAGGGTAAGGTTGTACTCCAGACCAATTACGGGGCGATTGACATCGAATTATGGCCAAAGGAGGCGCCGAAAGCCGTGAGAAACTTCGTTCAACTGTGCGTTGATGGTTACTACGATGGCACAATATTCCATCGCATTATTAAGTCTTTCATGGTTCAAGGTGGTGATCCCACTGGAACTGGCACAGGTATTTCACCTTTGAACTCTTCCGCTATGCAACCATATCAGACGCGCAAACACACACACACACACTCAATCGCTCAGATACATTGTTCTTCTATATCATTGTAGCTACTTAACCGTGTTGGCAGTAATGGCCCTCCTGATGTTGTGATTGACCTAGGTCAATCGATTGTTCACATCCTATGAACATTACCCCTCCATTCCATGAAACATGAGCTGCAGTAAACGGTTTTACTGACTTAATTCCAACAAAATATGTAGCAATTTTGAAAAACCCTTTAGATTTGACATTAAACATTTGAAGTTTATGTCTCTTTTTGGAATGAAGGAGTAGTTACATAAATGATGTTTCTGAATCCAGGTGGTGAAAGCATATATGGAGGTACATTTTCTGATGAGTTCCATTCACGTTTAAGATTCAGCCATAGGGGTATAGTTGCTTGTGCAAATACTGGTTCACCACATTCAAATGGAAGTCAATTCTTTATAACCCTAGATAAATGTGATTGGCTAGACAAGAAGAATACAATATTTGGCAAGGTAACAACTAACAATAGATTCACTGATACATAGGTTCACAATATTTGGACATTGATTGATTTTATTTGTTTTATAGGTCACTGGAGATTCAATATATAATCTGTTAACATTTGGTGATATTGAAACTGATAAAGATGACAGACCTCTGGATTCTCCTCCAAAAATACTTTCTATTGAGGTATTATTTTTTCTGCTTAATGTCTAATAGCTTCAAAATAAACCTTCATTAATGCCAATTTTGTTGGAAATTGGATTGTCTTTCAAATAACTTCAGGTGTTGTGGAATCCATTTGATGATGTTTTTCCAAGAGCTGCACCTTCAAAATCTTTGTCATCAACTACTGTTGAAGCTGGCAACAAAGATACAAAAAGGAAGGCTACAAAGTAATCATTTTTATCATGTCTTTGAAGTGGTTAACATGAGATTAGATAATCTTTATGTTGTAAATATTCTTTCTCATGTGATTCTGTTCAATATTTACAGAAAGTTGAACTTGCTTTCATTTGGAGAAGAAGCACAAGAAGAGGAGAAAGAACTTGCAGCTGTGAAAACTAAGATAAAAAGTAGTCATGATGTTTTGAATGATCCTAGGCTCTTAAAAGATGAAAATGCAAAAGATAAATTGGTAAGTATACAATTTTTATTCTTATGGTGAAATCTTAATAGACAAATTATTGATAAATAAACAAATTTTGATTAATATGAGTTCAATGTTGCAGGATCCATCTGAAGATAAAGCAAGAAGAGATTTGCAAAAGAGTGTTAGAGAAGCTTTAAGCTCCAAGAAGGAAGAGTTACCCAAGGATTCTGATGCTGAGTCAGCAGGTGACAGTGATGATGACGAGGCAAACTTCGATGCACGCATGCGTCAGCAGATTATTAAAAAGAAGAAAGAGCTTGGTGATATACCAACCAAGAAAAAAGGGCAAAAAGGTAATTTTTCAACCCATAAATAAACTCAGGTTCTATTTTTCTTTTATTTATCGCGGACATGACTTGACTGAATTGGACTGGACTGGACAACCTTTTTAGGTCTATTTTTTTTATGGAGATGACGAGGGCATTTACGTCTTTTCACATACGAATCTGTATGTCCTATTTACATCATTTTGATTTCTAACAGTTTGATTTCTCTGTTGCATGTTCAGAGAGTTTAATGTCTAGAAGCCATAAAAAGTCTCCACCAAGGTATTATTTATCTAATTTAATCCACTATATTTTCTTTGTAGTTTAAAGGGTTAAATTCAAGAAATAGAAATCTGCTTTCATATATTTGTGTATTATAGCATCTTACCCATTTATAGCATTGTACTTTCAAAATAAAAAATCTTTTTATATCAGTTAAAATTGCTGTGACTAGATAAATGAAAGTAGGATGCTATAACAAACAAGTCAATGAAAACACATTGCTACTTCTTGCACTTAAACCTAGTTCTAATTTCTAAATGCTACTTGGGTAACTTCTTGTGTACATTTTATCTGCTTTACGCTTTCTCTCATCTTAATATTTTGTATTTTTTTTTTTACATAATTAAAAGATCAAAAGATGAAAGGCATGATGATAGGCCGAAAGTGGATAAATTGTCTTTGAAGAAAAAAGGAATTGGATCCGAAGTGAGAGCAGAACGTATGGCCAATGCAGATGCAGACATGCAGCTTCTAAATGAACATGAAAGAGAAAGACAATTACAAAAGCAAAAAAGACGCAGGCGTCAAGGACACGAAGAAGATGTATGTCATATTCTCATACACATTTTTTTAAAAAATATTTTTATACAAATCTTTCTTTTTCTTTAAAGCGGTTATAACGTTGTACAAGTCCCTTTTGGCCCCACTTGTTACCCAGTACAAGGTGCAACAAAACAGGTTGTACTGCGTTTGACATGCATCAGACCGGGACCGACCTCAAAATTTTCAATTTTTATCCCACTCAAAAAGGTGGAACAAGGTAGGACATATACTCACTCCCGGTCTCCCATCTATGCAAAAGACGAAAATGCCTTCCACATCCCCATCATTAAAAATAGCGATACAAAGTCAATTTTGTACCCTCTCATCCCGTCCAATTGGACGGGATGAGACTGGATAAGCTTTGTATTGCTATTTTCAATGATGAGGATGAGGAGGGCATTTTCGTCTTTTGCATAGATGGGAGACCGGGAGTGAGTATATGTCCTACCTTGTTCCACCTTTTTGATTGGGATAAAAATTGAAATTTTTGAGGTCGGTCCCGGTCTAATTCATGTCAAACACAGTACAACCTGTTCTGTTGCACCTTGTATTGATTAGCAAGCGGGCCCAAAAGCAACTGTACCACGTTATCAACGCTTTAAAGAAAAAGAAAGATTTGTATAAAAGTATTTAAAAAAAATGTGTATTTATCTTTTTATATTGTTTTTGTGATATGTAGGTGCTAGCTAAACTTGAGAAGTTTAAAACATCCATGTTTACAAAACCTGATGCATCTAATGGTGAACAAGAGGGTAAAGCTGAAGAAGATTTGTCTGATTGGACTAAAGCCAAGTTGAAGTTTGTGGCTGATAAGGTAACATCATTTTTTAAAAATTATTTTTTGTTATGATGTTGTAGTTTAAAATATGTGTCCAGTTATAGCAGTTTAACATCTGATGCATAAAATTTTGTTTTGTTGTAAATGATTTTCAGGATAATATGACACGTAGGAATGATCCAAATGACTATGTGGTGCATGACCCTCTTTTGGAAAAAGGAAAAGAAAAATTCAACAAGATGATAGCAAAACAAAAGAAACGAGAACGAGAATGGGCTGGAAAATCTCTTACATGATAATATATATATTCAACTTCATGTATTATTTATTATACACTATGTGGGACCATGTCATAGAGAATCAATCAGTTATATATATTTGACTTTTTGCATTTGCAATTTCATTTTATTACAGTTTTCAAATAAATAATCGTTTTTAATTCACGAAAGGAAAATGATACCATATTTGAAAATGAGTGCTAATTTGTATAGATCAATATATTATAAGGTATTAAACGTAACATACAAAAACCAATATAATGAAAGCTACCTCTTTGAAATAAATTTCCACTTTGGCCATTTTGTAATGAGAAGCTATTTCAGAAAAATATATTAGGTTATTTTAGAATGTAAATATTATGTCATGTAAGTTAATGAGCAGTTTTGTTGGTCTACACCGAAAATAAAAGGTCATAGTGATAGTAGCAAACTTCTTTAGAAAATGAATGACTTTCATCCATCAAAATGAAATATAGAAATATAAACAACAAAGAAAACCAAAATATAATATAATAACTTTATGTATATTACCCTACACTATAATTTTTTTTTTGAAAGCAAGTCGAGTAGTCGACAACAATGCATGTAATCAGCACACATCAAAATAATTTGTGTTCCCTATTCCAGAACATGTATTACGTGAACATAATGGAAGTACAATACCACAATGACATTGGGTATCCACCATTTGGTTTTGGATTCGGATCTAGGTTGTGGTTCCAAAAGTTTGAATTGATTGGGCTTAATTCAGAATATTTATTTTTAAGAATTGTTATACGTCGGGTGCCATAGATAAGTTCCACAAGAACTATCCATTATGCACTTTTTCATTATACAAATAAAAGCATACTAAATACTATGCACTTAAAATATTTTGAAGTTTAGTGTTTAGATAGTTTCATGCTACATGCATTTGGTTAAAGTGGGCATGGTATTTAAGAAGTCGACGTTCACATTATACTCTATATTAAAACCAATCGGGTTTAGAACAGTATAGTTATAGTTTTATATTTTGGTTATAAAACTTTTTTATTTTAGATTTTGGCCACAATTTTTTTTTTATGTTGTTGATTTGGTCCCAAACTTTTGTACCGTTGATACTTTCCACTCCCTACTTTGTAAATGGTACTTTCCACACATATACTTTGTAAAATGTCATTTTCATGCTTTCAAATTTGAACACTGATATTTTCCACCCTTTAACTTTCGTATATTGCCAAGTTTGCAAGTTTGCTCCCTAAGACTCTAGTTAGAAAATAAGTTTGAATGTATCCGAATACAATTTATTGGAATAATCGAAAACTACTAATTACTAATTGTTTTCTGAAAGGTTTATTATTCATAAGTTTTATGCTTTTTTTGTTTTAAATCATAACTTTTATTTGTCTTTCACAAAAAACCTATAGCTTTCTTCTTCTTATTATTTTTTTTATATTGACTGATTATCTGGTTAACAAGTTAAATTTGATAATATAATTTTTTTTCCCAAAAAATCAGTTTTTTCTTTTTCAAAAAATCTTCGCATTTCACAAATTTTTTAGTGTTAGACCAATAACTTCTGATTATTTTTGCTTGTAATTACATTGTTCTTGGTAGGATGTTTTTTTTATATAATGTTATTGGTGGGGAGATAGAGATTTAATTGTAGATATGATCTCTCTCTCTCTATATATATAGGGCCGACCCAATGGGTGTTCAAGATGTGCCCTTGAACAGGGCCCACTTAAATTTTAGGGCCCAATTTTTTTCCACCTTTGGTATTAGACTATGTTCATTGTTTGGGCTAGGTTAAGGATCGTCGATAGTGAATGTATCAGGCGGCCACGAGAAAGGAAACGATGCAGGTGTTAACGGCCAACAGAGAATCACCGAATCAGAAAGATGAGCAGGAATCAAAAAGTTTTTGGGAAAAGGAAAATGATGCTTTGGTTCCTTCATTCTCGAAAATCAGAAGGATACTAAGTCAGAATTTATGATTCGTATTTGCTTAAAATCAGCATTTCTGAAGAAGGAAATCAAAAGCAATCATCGAAGATCAGAAGGATATCAAAGCTTTGAGTTCATATTTCTTCATTCTAGGCATACTGATTATGAATTAATGATTCCTAGTACATACTTCTTCCTTTTTTCTTCTTGAAAATCAGAAGCAACAATCCTACAATCTTCTCAAAAATCAACTATCAGTTCTTAAATTATTTCAGTAGTTCTTCTTTCAATCTTATAATCTTGCAATCTTATAAGGAGTTTCTGTTATTTATTTTTTTTCTTGTTCGTTTTTTGTTTTTAATTTTTTAATTTTTTAATTTTTTTTTTTGCTTTTTGAATGGACATATAAATTAGTTTTGAAATTTATAAGGAACAAGATTACAAGGAAATCGGTTTCTGTTTTATGAAGGCACAGACAAATAAATTTCTGTTTTTTCTTTCAGGTTTGTTTTATGTTTGTATTTATGCTAATTTTCTTCGAATTTATAAGAAGTAAACTACTCTTCCT